CATAATTATTTGAATTAATAGAATCTTGATTTTCCTATTTATAAATAGAAATTTAAATTGTAATTAATAAAAATTTACAATATTTTAAAAAAAATAAATTTTATAACAAACCTTGTCTTTTGTAATTCTTTTTCGATTATTTGTTAAATCACTTTGCACAGAAACTATTTGCTCACTAGTATCATCGGCAGTAGATTGTATTTGCTGATTATTAAAAGTAGTTTGTTGTTGCATTGTATAATCATCTTCGGAATTCTGTTTATTACAATAAAATTAGTTTAAAAAATAAATTAAATAGATTGTTAACCTAATACTTTCCAATTCGTATTCTTCCATAAAAGATTTGCTTCTTGGTACTGTATTAGCAAACTGTACCAATAATTGAAAATTCAATGGAGAAGTTAGCAAAGATTCATTTGTTTGTAAGATATTATCTTCTATGTTCTCTGATGTTGAAGATCAAGAACTTAATGGAGAAGCTACAATTAATAATCGTATTATTAATCTGAATAATTTCATTAAAATCGCCATATCCATCTGATAAGTTATTATTTTCATTTTCAGAAACTTCCTTATCTTCAATGACACCTTTAGGTAAATCTTCCTCTATATTAATATTATGTTGCTTCCATTCTTCAATTATATTAAAGTTGCATAAGGGATGTTGTCCAAAAACTAATTTATATAGTGTATTATTGGTAGGTTTGAAACGACAAATATTCATAGAATCTAAAAAAAAAAAAAATTTAATATATCATTAAAGAATTATAATTATTAATTAATATGCTTACATGTAACTATCAGAAGGCCAATACTCCAATCTCTTCGATTATTGTCCTCTATCTATGCAGAAAGAACATTCTTTAGAGTTTTGTTAGAGTTTTCAATCATGCCTTGTGATTGAGGGTAGCGAGGATGCCCATTTATTATGTGAATTTCTTTCCATAGACTGAGAAGTTCATAAATAATTTGGCCAGTAAATTCCCACCCATTGTCACTTTGCAATATGTATGGAGGCACAAAGACAGGAA